CTGTAAGCGAGGGGGGGAGGACGAACAGGCTGCACAGATTTTACAAGTCATTGCGGCGACATCGCCGCAATCACCTGTAAACGTACGAGCGGATTCCCCACAAGGCAACTTACCCGCCCGGCGTCGGGGGACTCCACACCGCTGCCGCCCCTCTGCGCCCTGCCGCCCCGAGGCCGGGCCTCGGTGGCCTTGTGGGAAATCCGGGCCTGTGTCAGTGGTTGTAACATTGCACTGGACAACAAAGATTTTGCTCCTTTTCTGGGTGTGTCTTATCGATTTTGTGCTGCTAATCATGAAAATAAACTGTAATTTAACCCATCACATGCCATTTAAAAAAAATCTTTTATTTTTGTATTTTCTTGTCAAATTTAAAACTTTACCCATTTTTGATTTGGTTATATGATGCTTTGTGTAGCTTATACATGTCCAGACATGCACACAGTATTGGTTGCATAACGTGAATAAAGTTATATTAAAGTCAAACATTTTTTAAGCTATGTCAAATGCTTATGACTTACAGTGGACGCTGCTACTTAATGCTTAAAAGTTTTAGCTTCCTGCAGAATCAGCTGATCCCTTGAGCCCTGGCCCTGATATCCTGTATTAGGGTGGCTCCTTTCCCTTGCAGGGTGCTATAGAGTCACCCTTGTGTGTGCTAGTAAGCTGTGAGTCTCCGCAAAAACACAGCATGGCAAGGCACTCCCCTACTCTCTGCTCCTCCTTGCTCCCTTCTCTGTTCTCTCTCCTCGTTCCTTCATTCTCCTCGTTCCTTCATGGATGGCTGCTGTAGACTGCTCCATCACTTTTGATCTTGCACGGGACAGGAAGTTCAGGGAAGTGGCACTGAGAGAGTTGTAGCTGTTCAGAAATATGATGACTGTAAGTGCTTGGCAAAAATGTAAAGGAATACTTTGCTGGGTAATGTGTATTTGTTTGATCTGGATGGATTTTTGTCAAATGGTTTGAGTGTTTATTACTACTTTAAAGGAGAACTATGGGATTAGGGCTTTTCCCCATAGTTCTCCTTAGGGTAACGGGAGGACACAAACTAGCGTCCTCCCGTCACCCTAGGCTCAGTATACCACGAGCTGTAGCTCGCAGTATACTGAGACGCTGCAGCTGAAGCGGATCCTGACAATTGTGCCGGGATACGCCCAGCTGCGTGACTGACAGCTGGCTCTGCCTATCTAGAGGCAGAGCCAGCTGTACCCGCCCCCTCCCCCGTCCGTTCCGCCAGTCAGCGCTGGCGGATCGGAGCTGGGAGGGGGGAATCCAGCCCCTCCCCCTGCCATGGCAGAGAGCCGTGACAGGATCGAGAGGGGAGCGAACGCCGGTATGTGTTCGCTCACCTCCCGATCTACTGAGCCGACCTGTGACAGTCTCATTGTCACAGGTCGGCTAGAACTATGAGGTGAGTGAAAAGCGCTCACCTCATAGTTCTCCTTTAATACCTTTTTTTGAGTTACTGCACATGCTCAATGTTGGAACTTCTTGCACAGCCTCACAGAGAAACACAAGCACACAGTCTGATATGCATGCTGCACATGGCTTGGAAAACACATAAAGGAAGCCACAGCTTTATTCTCTACCTTATACAACAGAGCATATACCATAGATATAACAGAATTTATAAACACTGCCATCTAGTGACCAAAAAATGTGTACTGCAGGAGTTATTGCAATAGATACAATAATGTGTATTCTAACACTCAGTAATTCATATATGGTCGATGCCGTGATCCCTGGACACAGCCTAGGACACAGCATCATTGAGGTAGAGGACTGAGATACGCAACTGTCTTGGCAAATCCGGGATGCTTGCCGTCTAGGTCATCGGGACCCAGACAACAAAAATTAAAGGAGAGAGGTTTCAAGCTTTCTACCCAAAACTAAAAACAAAAAGTTTTGGCTTAAGATAAACTTTAAGCTGCTAAAAATAATTCAATAACTCTTACTCAGCGCCTTGAGGTATCCCTCCATGTTGACCTGCGACACCAGCGCGAACTTTCCGGTTAGTTCATTGGCCATGGCGAGACACCTGAATGTCTTCGTAGGAATGGTTCTTATCCTCTATCAATGCGCTCTAACTCATCTTCCGGACGGATCGCAGCCTCTTAAAACACAAGTCGTCCTCTGCTAAATAAATGATTTCTCTCTCTCTGCGCTCCCTGCCTGCCTTTAATGTTCACAGTAATCCCCATTATGTGTCAGCCAGGCCCATGCTGCAATATAATCTCCGATTATAGCAACAACAATGACAACAACAAAATTAACCCGTGCCTTGATGGAAGTATTGGAATTACTACACCAGCGGTTGTCCATTTAGGAGGACTAGGGGGCCTCCGCTTCGGACCCCCTGACATCACCAAGGGGCCGCAAGTAATATTCATGGTTTAGAGACTGTGGACATGCTACATGTGTTGTTAGAGTTAGCCGGAGACAGTCATGGACTAGGAACATGGTACACGAGATTGCTAAAGATTACAGCTTCTTTACAAATCAATGCCCCCACTACAGCTGCTGGGGCCCGGGGGGGCCGCACAGCAAGCCCTAAAAGGCTGCAAGTGGCCCTCGGACTGCAGGCTGAGCACCAGGGTCCTACACACCATTCTGAATGTGTCTATTTTGATAGCAATAAAGCTGTTGCTATTATTTGATTATTATTTTTGGGATTCGTTGAGGTCGTGTCTAGAAATGCGTATGTATGGTGTTTCTAGAGCGCGATGGATCGGAAAATCGGTCTGACTATTCAGGGCATAAAAAGGCAGACAGATTGGATTTTTACAGCTGTAACATTTCTACAGCTGTAAA